TGTTTAAAATTATCATTATTTTCAGTGGGCTTCAATGATCAAGTTGTGGAATAAACTTGATAATGAAGGTATACTGGAGGAAGAGTTAGTCAGACATCTTTGGAGAGATGAGATTAGCAAAGATGAATCTAGCTTTGAGGTCTTCTTGGAGTTAATGAAGCAGTTTGGACTGCTCTGTGAGAAAGTCAAGGTATTACCTTTTTTCTTTTGTGTTTTTTCTGTTGGCAAATACTTGGAGAGTTCAGATAGTCACTAGCCATTCAGCTACAGTAGTTAATGATAAGTTGACCTGCCCCTTAACTAACTTAATATACAGTGCAATCAATCCTAATACGAATCTATTAAAAAATAAATTAATATAGATTTTTTTAAAAGGCAAAGAAATGCAGACATAAATGGTGACTTATTCCATCTTTTCATTGTAAAATGAAATTCAGCAAATTATTTAAAAAAAAGAGAGTTTAAATTATTTTAAGAATGTTAATCTTACTCTACCTCGCATGCCATTTGGATTGCAGAACATTTGATTATTTAAAAAACTGGTAATAACACGTTATATCGTCATTGCGGACTTATAAAATCCGCATACGCTATAAAACTAAAAGAAAATGCATACTTTTGGAGTCCGTACTGAGCCCAAAAAATCCGCAATGAAAATATAACGTGTTTAATGTAAGATGTACATTTTTCTGGTATTTTCTATCTTTTTATTTAATTCATTTGTTTTTTTCACAAGAATCAGGAAAGCAAACATCGCTCGTTTTTTGTTCCCTGTCGATTGAAACGGAGCAAAGACAATGTGTCTATTGAACATGATACAGCTCAGATGGTATCTATCTATATGGTCTCCGAGGATTTCATCCCTGATAGTGTCTTCCATCCTCTGGTTGTGAGCTTGATTGGAATGGTACAAGACATGGGCTACACAGCCATGCTGCAATTATTTAGCAACTATGCAGAAATCAGCCTAGGACTTGAACACACTCTCAGCTTAGGACCAGTAGTCATTAATAACAAGCCCTCATTGAAGGTAAGATGTTAAGAGATGTCATTTAGTTACTAACCATTGGAGTGATAGGCAATGAAGTGAAAATCAAAATCAAGACAAGAGTGATAAAGGTAAAAGTATCTTTCTAAGAGTTATTTGAATGTCACACACTTGTATGGTTTTTTTAATTGTTGTTATTGTTATGAATAGAAAAAATTTGTTACAGTAACAGCTGAGAGATAGGTGAATAAGGGATAATGCTCCTTGCTTAATTCTAACAAAAGTAGTGTTAGGAGGGTAATACAGGACAGATCCAGGTGACATGTCCCTCCCACCAACCAAAAAAAAAAAAAAAAAGAAAGTAAAATTAGAGGAGAAAGAGCCCATGGTACGCCAAAACAGCTATTTTTAAATTCAGATTCCATGTACCATTGTCAAGCATTTATAGACAAAATTTCAACACCATCCCCAACTCCCTTCCCCTGCTCAGTGTTTTCACATTTTGCATGCCCCAACCAAACTGTTTTTGTTGGATCCATGATTTACACAAAAAAAAAGTGGCAAGTAGCTTGCAGTTTAATTAGGATAAAATTTAAAAAAAAGGATTTGATTGTTCACTTAATGTATTGATATATTTTGGGCATGCATGGAATTATTGATTGATTTATTGTTTGTATTTTAGCTGGAAATATTACGGGTGCCTATCATTCAGGAGGATGGTACCAAGACACCAACAGGTGAACCCAGTCCTAGAGTCTGTATGCAGGTAATCTAGTTTGATATTTGAAATCTTGCAATTGAAATAGCAGCTGTAAAACTACACACAGCAATGGTGATGTTCATTATTAGTGATATTACCTGGAGATAATCATAAGTAGATTTATCTAGGTAGAGTGTATGAGTAATATATTTTCTACTGTGCTTGGATGAACATAGTACAAGTGCAATCCAAATATTTAATATACAGATATACTTTTTTGTGATCTGGACAGCTAGTAGTGTATTGTCTGTTTTCTTGTTTATTTATATATTTTGTTGGAACTTTATTTAATGACAGATAATGTATTGTCTGTTTTCTTGTTTATTTATATATTTGTTGGGACTTTATTTAATGAGGATAGCCTGTGCAGCCCACCATTAATGGAAAGCTAATATTTAGAGATCCTCAGCAAACAAATTTAAAATACACAGAAAAAATAAAAGAAATATACTGACAAAATGAAGAATAAGTTTGAAAAAGACATCCATATGAAACATGAAACCAATAAAAAGATGAATTCTTATAATAGCATAATGAAAAATTATTGAACTTTTAAAAATAAAATAATTTTGATAATAATGGAAGAAAATTGGCCAAAGAGAATGGTAATGACTATAATATTGATGACAATATAAATAGCAATAATTCTGATGGCAAAAGCAACAGCACTATTGCATCATTGTTTCATTGAGCATCATGAAATCAATTAAATCATATAAAATCTAACAATTCAAATTTGAAATCATAAATCATTTTTTGGTGGTGCTTCTCTAATATAGTATGATTCATTTTCTTATATTTTTGTAATGTTTTCAACTTTAATTTTTATTTTGTATTAAAAATCTTCATTTAAGGTGTTAGAGTTTCTGAAGAAAGAAATGAAAGTACTGACGTCTAAAAGTCTGTCTTGCTAGATCTTGTTGACTGAACGCTGGTCAATACAGTTAATACAAGAGGCGATCTTGACTACATGGTCTAGATCTTTTTTATTTTCTCTGATGAGCCGCTGTACCATACAATTATTGAGAGGGTTAAAACATATTTTAATTACATTTTTTTTATATTTTTCTTTTAATAATAATTTATAATTTACATTTTCAAATTCTCAAAGTAATGAAACAAATCATTGTTTCATTACTGAATCTGTATCTGGATTGGTACTCATCAGTGGAAAGCAAAGAGGGGAAAGCATTATCCAGTAATAAGAGATGAACATAAAAATCGTCAGAGGGCCAAAGTGAATTTACATTCATTTACTACTAGTACTTTACCTTTATGCTTAGTTTTGATTTGATTTTATTTGATATCATAAAGTTATAATTTCATTGATAACCCTTAAAATCCTAACACAGATTTATTTCCAGAGGGGTTCCATTTTATTATTACTTTTTAGGTTATTGTTATCGGTCCATTCCAACCCAGGGTATTTTAGCCAAAGAGGGTTGGCTGCACACATAGCTTTTTAATATATATTCGAGGGCAGCAAGAAAATCGTAAGCAGCATATGACCCATGCCCACCTGTGATATAGTATAAATACACCATTGATTTATATAAACTGTTTTGATCCTGATCCAATATTTGATGGTGATAGACAGCAGTCAGTTTTAATAATTTGATTTTTTATTTATTGTTTTAACAATTTATTTGTTGTAGATTCTCCAATGCAATTAGAAGGTTCCAGTGTTACTGAAACAGCACCACCAGGTTAGTGTTTTATATGTTATCAGGGTTCGTACACGTCCTTAAATTCCTTGAATGTCCTGAAAAACAAATGAGCATTTTCCAGTACTGGAAAGCTGGTCCTGGAAATTTATGATTGCCCTTGTATGTCCTGGAAATTTGACCATTTACCATCCAGTACTGCAGGATGCCTAGTAACGGTAGGCCGAGTAGACTCCCACGATACTATTGGAAAAGCGTGTCAAGTCTTTGTACACCACCAATTCAGGAATATCGAAGACAGAAAGAATGTCAAATGCTGAATGTGGCAGTGGGTTAGACAAACTTCTGCTATTTAGTAAATGGAGTTGTTCGACTATATTTTAGTAATGGGGTTCTTTTTCTATTGCACTTTTTTAGTTTACAATATATATGATTTGTTGATTGCGTTTTATAAGATATTTTAACCTATTTAGACTCTATTAAAATGTGCAACACCAACAATCGTTCCACAATGCTAGCTTAAAAATCAGAAGTCAAATTATTCATTTAAAATACAATAATCATATCAGTTCACTTCGAACAATTCACAGATTTAAAAGTTTTGATGATGTATTGTAAATATTTTACTACAATGAGAACTCGTACATTATTTAAAACTGAAAACTATTCCCCCATAGGCCTATCTACTAGTTCAACGCCAGTGTTAATATAGCAAACGCTGTTTGTGTGAACACTTTGGAATTTTAATCTGTGGATTATCTTACGTTGGCGTAAGTTAGGCCATTCTTTCGCCGTATGTGTGAACATACCCTGAGTAAATCTGTCTCATTATTTTCATTTTACCAGGCATACTCTTATTTTTGCTTCAGATGGAAATCTAGGTTATGTGGATGATATGCACCTGTCTGCTATTGCCGAAGGCATGGGACTTGAATGGAAACAACTGGGACTCAGGCTGGGTCTCAGTTGGAACAAGATTCAACAAATATGGAGTGATAACAGACGATTGTTTGACTGCATAATGGAAATGCTGACAGAATGGAGAAAACAACAGAACTATGAGACAAACCAAGTTGAGATAATGTGCAATGCTTTGAAGGATCAGGGACTCACAGAGCTTGCTAACAAGGTCTTTGGCTCACAAACATCAGAGGATCAATCATCCCATGTGGAAGCAAGTACAGATCATCCTTGTGGAAGATTACACCATACTAAACAGGAACACGATGGTCAGTAATTCATAATTGCTCTTGGAATTAGCATACAATATGATAGAGATGGTGATATTAATACAGTAACATTAATATTGGTATTTCAATAAAAGTGTTTTGTTTTTGTTATTGTTTTATAACAGTAATTATTAGAGCTGTTACTTCATACAGTGCGTTCCTCGCTCCATGCCTGAATATAATTTTGTAAATAATCATTTTTATAAAAATAATTAGTAATTAATGTATTTGAATTGATAATTTTGTACATATGATCCCCATTTCTTAATTCTTATTGGTATATATATTTTTTATATCCTATTTTTATAAAATTTGATATTGTATATTTCTATTTTTTAAAATTTAATTGTAATTGAATTGTGAATTTGTTATTGTTTTTTTTTTTTAGATAATATTTGTGTTTTTGTGTCGTTTGTATATTTTGTTTCTTTATTGTAAATTCAATCGTTTCAGTCTTGTACCGCTGACTCTTTTTTATGTTCTTATACCTGAATAAAATAAAAAAATAAAGAATAACAACAGACCGTGTATGATGACAATTCAATAATTTTCCACCCTGTGCTTGTATACCGAACAATATTCCTACAGAGCATTCAATTATTTTCTTTTATGCCACAAAAAAAATTGAATTTCTGTGACCTTGACCTTGTCTTTTGACCTTTTCTTCACAAAATTTAATAATCACTTTGACTATCATGTACCATTCCACTATAAAAGTTTATAATGATTCATTCATTAGTTTTTGCATAATCTTGCTAACAGCGACCTGAAAATTTTGGTAATTTTAATTATTTAGTTGTAATCATTGTGATAATTGTACAGTAATACAAGTTTTTTAAATTTTAATTTGTTCTATTTTAATGTAATTTTTTCTATAAATGTACATATCATTACATTTCAGCCTTGTGCTGTGAATTTGATTTTAAGAAAACTTTATCTCCTTTGGCAGAGGTACAAAAAATATAGTTGGAAATAATACCTGTAACTTATACAGTACTGTTATTAAATATTAACAGTTTTTTTTTCTGTCTCAGGTTGTTTGACTGATACTGACCTTCAGTTCATTGCTAAAAGACTTGACAATGATTGGAAAGATTTGGGCATATACCTTAATATGAAACGCTCTGAAATAAATCAAATTGCAACTGACTTTTCACCACCAATGGTTGACGCCTGTATTGAAATGTTGGTAAAGTGGCGGAGTAGACAGGAAGCTAAAGTAAATCATCTTGCAAAGATTATTGATGCCTTAACCAGTCTTGAAAGAGAAGATATCATTAAAGAACTTAAGCCTTATTACCAGGAAAAATAAAAATATAAACTAAAATAAGAGCCACAGAAAGTGGCCCTGATTCCCAGGAACCAAAAAGCGGGGTGGGGTATCCAGTAAGATGTAGGGGCAGAGCCCATGGTTAGGGGCCAGTCCAAAAGCTCAGACGTTTCATGTAATTTAATGCCTATTTCAAACGATTACAGACATAATAACAGAGAGAAAATATTATGTCAACATCCTGAGAAAATGAATTATAAAAATAGACAATAAACACATTCTGGCTATTTGATCCAGAGATATTTAATTAAATCATTCACTCAGTGCTTTCATTTAATTTATATTTAAATTCAGTACAGAATTTAAATATTCGTGGGTTTTTTTTAAACAGAATGTTTATCAGCATTTTTGTATAATAATCAAATTTCATGACATTATCCCTGATTATATGCTTTCATTGGGACTGTTGCGCGTCTTTGACATTCCGATACAATTTTCTGTGGCCTTGCTGTTCACAGAATTTGGCACAAGTTTTATTATTAGACATTCTAGTAGCTCAGGTTTGTTCTATCGATAAAAAGTGCATTGTCATGCCAAAGGCAAGAAAATGTAGGATGGCCAAGAATATTTTGAGGACACATGCTTTGGAGAGCAAAGTAACATTGCATCATGACCATATGTAGACATATCATGACTATATATGGGCACATCATGAATATATATGAGCACATCATGACTATATATGGGCACATCATGACTATATATGGGCACATCATGACTATATATGGGCACATCATGACTATATATGGACATATCATGACTTTATATGGACATACAACAGTTTTTTGTCAAAGAAAATTTGATAGTGTGGACAGTGGTTTTCATAAATTCGCTACATTGTTTTCCTTGCGATGGTTGTGCTGCGTAGCTGTCCCCAACACAATCAGGAAGGCCTCATGATTTGACCGACCAATCAGCATTGCCAAAATTTGCCGGCGATCATGTGTACATATGTAATATTTTTTAATTTCTTCAGTTTAATTTTCAACTCAAAATTGTATTTTCCTTCTAGTAAGTTTTTGGTTGATTGACTGTGCGCTTTCTTGTGTGTTGCCACTGATGTTAAAGTAAAATGTAAAATAGTTTATGCCAATTTAAGCTTTAGCATATGTTAGCATAGCACTACATACCTTTGTAAAATTTTGAATTCTGGTAAACAGTTTTTGATTGGTTAGTTCCTCATTCTTACAAGCCAATCAAGTGATGTAGTAAAATTAAGCTAGTTAATTTTGAATGAAGGGATTATTCTTTAAAATGTGTTATTTATTTAAGATGATAATTTTTAATTTTGAAGTTTTAGCATCTTGTGCTGCATCAGTGCAATTAAGTTGATCTTAATATTTGGGGTATTAAAATTGAAATATATGTTTTAAAATTTCATTCATTTATCAAACTTGTTTTTTAGATTGGTTTTTTTTCAATTAATGGGAAATTATAAACTTCAGTTGTTATTGTTGTTCTGTGCATTGTAGTGTAGTGGTTCATTTACAGATAAAACTTGACAATTTGTTACGTAGTAATGACAGATAATCTTTAATTTAGTAGGTAATTTATGTTTATAGATATAAGCATATGTGCTCTAACCTTGTACAAATAAAAAGGAGCCTTCATTCAAAAACATTTTTCACAATGGTATAATGCATTACTGTATATTGTAAAGAAAATCGTACAGCTTATTAGAGTAGAAAAAGGGTGTTTGCCTGATTAGTGAAAGTCCCTAAATGGGCTCTGATTGGATAATCAGACCATCTTATTAATAGGTCCATGATTAGGCCCATGTCATGTAGTGAACATTAATATGCTAGATGCAGCAGCCAGTAAATGAAGTCGAATCAAGAGAAGTGATGACTTGATCTCCTTGTGTGTAAATTACACTACATGTAACTAAATAAACTTATTATTGTTCTTTTCTATACTTTTTAGTGGTTTCATTTACAGATCAAACTTGACAATTTGTGGTGTGTAATGACATAATTTATCGGATACCACTCTCTAAGAAAATTAAGCAAGGTAATTTAAGTTGTATATAGCACTGTAATTTCTGTACCTGACAGGCAGTCTTTAATTGTTTCCCAATACAAACCAGTGGGGCATAGCATTCTGGTAAGGGGAAAAGCACCTGGTGAGAACATGGGTAATTTGGGAAATTTGTAAACACATGCTGCTACCAAAATACTGTAAAAAACAAAATTGTATACTTTCTAAAAAAATTTAATATACAAACCAATTTGGTAGAACTGGTAGAATTATATCCCAGTATTTAAGTACTGTTAAGATATATCAAAACTTATACATTCCACTTTTTATGCGGTTGTACAATTTCAGTTTGACTAAGTAGATAGTTATTTTTATTTTTTATAGTTATTGATAGTATTTATCAGTGGGGGCACCAGGATTTGTCCGAAGAGGGGTCCCATGTGCCCAACGGGAAGGCTGATTTTTCCAACACCAGCATAAGTTAGTAGGGCCAGGGCATCCCAGAACCACTTGCGATTGTCCATAGGAAAAAACCTAGCATATGTTGGCCATGCCAGGACATCCCAGAAACTACTCAAGGGTCCATAGGAAGAATCCCTGGCAACTCCGACAATTTAAGGATCTGAAAGGCTTATTTAGTTTAAATTCTGTAAAAATTACATTTATTTTGTTTTAATTATCATTGTTCATTGTTATATATGTGAAACCAAAACAGTTTTTAAGCCATTGTAGATTCAGTTTTTGAGAAATATAACATTCCATTCATTTAAATTCTGTGTCATTGGTTTTATTTTCTAAAAGAGGCCACGATTCATCACACCAGAGGCACTAGGAGTCCTGAAATGGGGGTGGGGAAGTGCCAAAGTGGGGTGTAAAATGGGGTGTTGGTGATTTGAGTGATTTTTAACTACTTAAGCATGAGTTTTAGGGGGACACATAGGGCACAAGTATTTCTTAGCGCCATGTCCCTCCTCCCATGCAGTCCTAAATACGCCGTTGTAATTTATACGTTTATAAATCATCCAACCAACTTGCTAATCAAGATATGACGTCATAGTATATAGTTCATTGCACTTTTAAAATTATTTTAAATATAGAAAATTAAATTCACTAAAATTTAAATAATTTCATCTTGATCCTTTTAAATATTTTATTGTTTTGTTTTCCAAATTGACGTTTTGTAAGTAGTTGTTGAGACTCAGTGTGAGCTTACCAATTACCAGATGCGAGTAAATTAATTACAAGAAGAATGAAGAGTACCAATCAGCAAGGATTTCACAGATTCAAAAAATGTTACACATCATATCCACCAGTATCACCAATGCAAATCCAAATAGATCACATAGGCATACTAAACTGAGACGACAAATTCATTTACAACGACTTGACGTTGGGTTGAATAGGTAAGCAGATCAAAAGAAGCTCAGAAACATGAACAAGGATAAAACGTGTCTGTTAAGCTTTGTGTACATAAACTCATTACAGCGCATTTCTCCTGTCCTCATCGCAGTCGGAAAGACTCCCAGATTCGTTCGACCATGGTTCGACAAATAACGTCGCATCATCCAGGTATTAGGAGGGCCAGCGTAGATGAATCAGGATGAGTAGCACAGTTCCCATATAAAACAAGTTTATAAACTTTACTAGGCATTGATTCCTACTAAATTGTTATTACATATTGTTTATCCTTTCAAGTCCAAATTTATTCACCGTTAAATCAGACCGCGACATACAGAGGTGAGTAAAAACGTTCGGATTTTTGTATTTTCAAACATTAATTCGTTAAAGGTTTTTTTTTCTTTGAAGATGGAGTAAAAAATTTTCATTCAACAGATATATCTCCACCCACTAAGATTAACATCTGTATGAAGCTTATCCAAAGTTTGCAAAAACTCCACTCCGCTATGTATGAGCCCTCAATTGGTATGAAGGTAGTAATGAGACTAGTAGTTTTAGATGGCAGTTGCTAGATGCAACCACTCTATCGAGAATCGTAGAGAATGTGGACGTTAAGGAATGCTATATGACAATGACAGATTTTGTGCCCCCCCCCCGCCCCCGCCATTCAAACTCTCCCTGAGAACCTTGCAAGGGATTTTATTCCAGGGCCCTGACTGAGGTTCTAGTCGACCCCTTGATTCAGACTCCCTGTCGGCAAATTTCTGGAGCCACCACTGGCACGTGTGTATAAATGTAGATGATTATTAATTTATTTATTTCCTTTAGATCTAGGCCTACTTATTATTAGGAGCTGATTTCATCCTTTATCATTATGTCCATCTTATTTAATACAAGAAGGGAATTGGTTTTTAAGAGGATGCTTGCTCGAAATGGGGGATCGGTCAAACCAATGAGCCACATTGGTTGTTATTTATTTTACTGTAAATTAAGTAGTTTAATACTCTCTTTTGTTTTGTTTTACTACCGTAAATAAATAAAATAAATAGGCCTATTCCTGGTTACGACAGCCTACAAATTATGTAGGTATGCTTAGAATATTATTAAATCTATGAGAAATCATTGAAGTTTAACTGAAAATGGAGGGCTTCACTAAAATGACTATAACTTTTTTCCCAAAGAGGATTGAAAAGGAGATTTCGCATGTTAAAGAGGACACCCATGCGCATCAATTGATACCAAAAAAGCTTTGTTAACAATTTTTCCCGGTACATCAGTAAAACAACAAGAATGCAGGGGGTCACACTTATTGCAGGTTCCACACAGAAATCATTGTTTTAATGTTTGGTAATTTCAAATTCTACTTTTTATTTTGCTACGGAAATTTAACTTTAGGTAAAGAATACCTACTATTCTGTTCACACCATAGTGCATTCAATGTATAACAAAAAATGTTAATATAAACATTTAAAAAATTATATGAGATGCATATTTATAAAACGATAAGTTAACATATATATATATAATAGTAATTTTATATGTATGTTTAAGTGCACATATGCCTGTGTGCAAATTAATTTGTATAAGGAAAATGTATAGTAATTTTACATGTATGTTTAAGTGCACATATGCCTGTGTGAAAATTGATTTGTATAAGGAAAATATTTATCTGCTATAGATTTAAATCTTTATGATCATCTTTATCAATACTGTAATCATAAATGTATTTGAAATAGCTTTTGCACATGTAAGCATTGTATAAATACAAAAAAAACAATTAAAAAAAAGGGACAAGAAAGGTGGGCTGCACCCATGAAAGACAAAAAAAACCCCCAAATTTAATACTGATAGTTAACCAAGTTAAAACAATTATAATGATGTATATTTAA